AGGAGAATTCATAGGGTTTACACTTTCATGACTCTAAATGAATTGGACCTTGCTGATTTCATTTCCTGGACTGCCATTAAAATCTACAGGCTGAATGAGAAACGTTCACAACCTCCAAAAACCACAATCCCAGAAACGGCAGACTAAGGGCCCTTAAACCTCACGGAAGTTAAGCAGGAGTTAGCCAGCACCTGGATTCAGCCGTGGTGCATGTGTGTGAGGCATTTCCATCTGCAAAGCCAAGTGTGAGTTACCAGAAGCTCTATGACATCTTTCTAGACAAATGGCCATAATATCATTACATTTTAATTACCCTGCACACCCACCTCAAATGATCGAGAGTGGTGCCTTTATGCTCTCAAATCAGCTTGACTTCTGTAGATTAATGATTCAAATAGAAGCTGTTTATTTAAAAGCACACATTGTTCAACACAAATTTGCCTCAGAAAAAATAAAACTAGATTATTAAAAAGGAAGTAAATACTAATTCATGCAAATAAATGTAGCAGCCAGGCCGCAGCAGGTCATTGTATATGGCGTTTAGCGACAAAAACAACCGGGATTAAAGCCTGAAACTCTTCGGAGTCTTTGCTAGCCTTAAGTACATCACAGTTTTCATGATTACCCCGATCATGACCTCAACTTGATAAGGGCTCTCATACATCACCTTAACCCTACCCATAGTACATCTAAAAATAAGACTGTTCAAAGCACACACTTTCAGTGTTGGGACTTGCAAAAAGTATGGAACCGTGGAGTAACTCATCGATGTTTGCAGATTTGATCGATGCAGTTACAAGTCGATGGAGCAAAGAAAGCCAAGAGCAGAAAATGTTGTTTCGGCTTAGAAAGGGATTAAGATCATCTTCACTGTATCCTGTGTGGCCCTGCAAACCTGCCTGATGTACTGTATGTGTCATTCTATCTATCTGTGTGTGTGTGTGTGTGTGTGTGTGTGTGTGTGTGTGTGTGTGTGTGTGTGTGTGTGTGTGTGTGTGTGTGCGTGTATTTTGTGTGCTTTCTGAAGAAATGTGTGGTTTAGTAGTTTGACTGAATGTGAAAGTCTTTGTCATTCTTTAGAAACCATGCAGCATTATTTCTAAGTACTGGAGTTCACAGTGTGTCTGTTTATTCTTACTCACATACAGTTGTGCATCATATAGAACATATACTAACACATGTACTGTATATACCTGTAGGAGAAAACATTTCCTCATTATCTGCATCTGACACATCAAGCAGTTTTATTTCCTATCTCTAGATTTTAAGCTCTTAAACCACATGTTAGTCCTTGTTCCTCTTCTTCGTGCACTTTTTACGGTTCTCATTGACATTGCTGCTTGAATAATGAAACCCAGAAACCCAACAATACCTTACAATCCCTTACTGGACACAATGATCTCTATTTCCTCTTTCTTAATAAAAAAGTCTACATTGGCATGTGATTTAAAACAAATGTCTCCATTCCTCACTTCACTCTCTATTTTTATTTTCTGCTCTTGCTTGTTGTACCGCAGATTGTGTAAAGTGCCTTCATCCCACCCCTCTCCCCTCATCCTTGTCTAAGTATTCCCTCCTTCTTTTCCTCTTCAATTCGTTTTTTCATTCTCAATTTCTCTATTTAAAGCGTCCTTTTATGCTCTCCTGATCGCTCTCCCTTACCCATTTACCTCTTTAATGTATGTTTCCAAAGAGCTATAATGCAATATCTTGTGTAAACATTACCAGATGGCCAATAAAAAGTAATAACCATCAAGGAATGCCAATGTTTTCAGCTATTACAATCAAGGTGAATTTAAGTGGGCTATTTTTTTCACAGCTGTATCTCGTAGTAGCACCTTTTTTCTACTTTCTACTTTTCTACTTTTTTGGAGTGTTGTTGAGTTTTGTATCTGTTGAGTGTGGTTTCATTTGTGTTAACATATACCATAAACACTCGTCCCGTACCAAAATATGCTGTCATTTCTGCTTATACTGCTAACTATTTCCCCTCCCTGCATTCTGGATTTCGAGGAGTCTCCACAGTAAGCTGAGGTTGGGCAGCAGCTCGTCCTCCAGTCTGAACGACCTCTCGCAGGCCAAAGCCCCGGGGGGGGGAGATAAGGGAGGAGCAGCTGGGGGCCTGTCTGAGGAGTGCAGCAGGGACAGAGGGACCCAGAAGAGGAGTGCCGGGGCCAACGCCACCTGGAACAGGTTAGTGTTTACTGCTTAATTTGTTTTAATGATCTAAACATGTGATTATATACATTTCTCTGTCCTACATTAATGCAACCCTACTCAATCTGTCACGCATGTATGTTTACACACATGGACGTAGATGATTGCATTTTCCCCTGAATACACATCAAAGCTGCCATTATTCATGCTGTGAACACAAATCTTATTTTACACACATGCATATAAGCATCACCTCTTTCTGTTCTCTTCCCTGAGGGTCCATCCCCGCTCTCTTCTTATCTCCATTCACTCCTCACTCCTCTTTCATCTCATTCTGCCTCATAGAGCCTTTTCTTCCTTGATGCCCCTCTCTCTCTTCTTCGGTTATTTTGATGGTGTTTCCGCTTTATATGACACGAGACAGCAGAGTGAAAAGGTTTGCTCGGGGGTTGATGGTGGATCTGCATGAACAACATGAGCTGAACTCAGCTTGAGGAATGAAATCATAACATTTTTAAAAACTTTTTCTTCCATGAAATGTTGTCTCATGCAGCAGCTACTCATTAAAGTCAGGGGTGAATAAAGTAACCCGATTTTTACTCTGTAACAAGTACAAGTCCTGTGTTCAAAATATGACTTCAGTAAAAGTACAACACCTTGGCATTTACCAAAAGTAAACTCGTAATCATAATGGCCCATTTCAGAATGATATGTAATAAATAACCGGACTTTGATTAATGGTGCATAAATGTGTTCATCACAGATGGTAAAGGTGAAGCTTTTTTGTATTACTTTATATATTGCTGCAAAATATTTAACCCATAATTATATATCGATGTTTACTGATTAGTTGATCTGTATTTTGTATTAGTTATATAATAATCCTAATCTTTAATTGTGTGTCCCAGCATCCACAGTGCAGTGATATCAGTGTTCCAGAAGAAGGATCTGGGAGAAAATGAACTCTACACTCTGAATGAAGGTGTCAGGTTAGCTTCCTGTCTCTTCATCGGTCTGTCTGTCCGTCTGTTTTTATTTTTATTTGCCTGCTTATTACTTTCTCACTCACAGAAAAATTAACCAAGCACGACCAATGTTGAGTTTGGGATGAAAATTGACAAAATGATAGTGCTTTTACTCTGTAATCCCCCACCTTCCCTAGCTCACGTACAGTTGAAGCTTCAGCAAGCTAAATGTAATCTTAATGACACATTAGCAGTCACAGTTTTACTGCCTATTGTCCACTGAATCAGAAAGTCCTTTGAGTAAAAGAGGGAACGATGGGGGGAGGTTACAGAGGGTTCACTGCTGTGTTTTTAATTACAATATGGCTGTCAATAGTGACTCCAATCCTGTACAGTAAACTACACTCACATACACATAGTATACACATACTGAGTGTAGATGCTACCTCTTTTTTAAATAAGCATAACTCTCCACTTTAAATATAGTACATAGTATTGCCATATTTTATTACATTTTACTGCACTCAGTTTCATCCATAACTATATTTTGTCTACATTGTGTCTCTATTTTTCATTTGTTGCAATAGTCTTAGCTTTTTTAATTGTGCAATTTTGTATCCACCACTTATACCAAAGCAAATTCCTCGTATGTGTAAACAGACTTGGTAATAAAACCGATTCGGATTCTGACTCAAGCTGTTGTATCTTCACATTAGGAGAAACACCTGATTAGATTAGATACAGACTAAAGGTCAAATTCTCTCTTCCTGTCATAACAGCTGTAATTTCTACATGTTTACAGTTTATTGGAGGAAATTACTGTTGTTGAATTGTTCTTTGTCTTCGGTGTGAACAACATCTCTTCTCATTTCCTGAGTCTGCTGCTGTTCAAACACCGCAGCTTTCCAGTGCACTAAAGCTCATTAGTTTTTCTTCATGTTGAGGCAATATAATTAAGGTTGTGTTTGTGTTGTGTGTGTGTGCACTCATGTGAACTTTTCTTTCAGGCAGCTGCTGAAGACAGAGCTGGGCTCCTTCTTCACTGAGTACCTTCAGAACCAGCTACTCACTAAGGGCATGGTGATACTGAGAGACAAGATCCGCTTCTACGAAGGTATTCACACAAACACACATCAGAAACATGCTGTATGTGCACATATTCTGATGAAGCCCTGTTTAACAAGAACATCCTGTTTAATGGTTAATTGATAGACATAGGAAGAATCCAAGTTAAGTCAAATTGAATAGAAAAATAGAAAAGTGATGCCAAACCTATCAAGACTCTTTGTTTGGTTTATCCTAAGATTTAAATTCCAATTATTTTACGAACAACTGCCTCCTGGCTTTAGAAAATAGTTTTCACATGCAGTGCCAGTGAGTCATTACAGGGAAACTTCAAGAGTTTTTTTCTCAATGTGACAAAAGTCACGAGGAAAAAATAATAATTGACAAAAATATCAGATGCTTAGTTAACCCCTCCAGCTATTAGTTTGAACTGTTAGAAGAACAACCTTTCTCTCTCCACCATCTCTCTTTAGGAAGGACATTTTTCTGGAATACACACCTGTATGCATGCACACACGCACGCACGCACGCACGCACGCACGCACGCACGCACGCACGCACGCACACACACACACACACACACACACCTTCCCCCTCCCGCATAAACACACATACATAAACACAGAGTCAGAGTTAGATAGAGGCATTTAAGAGGAAAAAGTTAAATCACTGTGTTCTCTTTGTTTTATTAATGTGTGACTCTTGTTGTGTCGCTTTTTTGNAGTGTGTGTGTGTGTGTGTGTATGTGTGTGTGTGTGTGTGTGTGTGTGTGTGCGTGCGTGCGTGCGTGCGTGCGTGTATTCCAGAAAAATGTCCTTCCTAAAGAGAGATGGTGGAGAGAGAAAGGTTGTTCTTCTAACNGCGTGCGTGCGTGCGTGCGTGCGTGCGTGCGTGTGTGCGTGCATACAGGTGTGTATTCCAGAAAAATGTCCTTCCTAAAGAGAGATGGTGGAGAGAGAATTTCTCTCTCCACCATCTCTCTTTAGGAAGGACATTTTTCTGGAATACACACCTGTATGCACGCACACACGCACGCACGCACGCACGCACGCACGCACGCACGCACACACACACACACACACACACACACACACACACACACACTTCCCCCTCCCGCATAAACACACATACATAAACACAGAGTCAGAGTTAGATAGAGGCATTTAAGAGGAAAAAGTTAAATCACTGTGTTCTCTTTGTTTTATTAATGTGTGACTCTTGTTGTGTCGCTTTTTTGAAGCAACAATGCACACACACTGACTCAGATTTTCAGGGCTGTCGTCAGAGCAACAACACAGGAAGTGATGCTTTACGTCAATTGCACAATATCCAGTCAGTGAGAAATGTTAAGATAAGAAACACAGCGGTTCATACAATGACTCAGACGCATTGTTCAATGTGTGATTCAATATGCCTGCACAGACCTATGCTGCAAAAAAAGCTTTGCAAATATCTGATCTTTTTTAGGGATTCTCTTCTCATCTTTTTTAGGGATTCTCTTCTCATCTTTTCTTTTCTACATCAGCTATGGAGGTTTGATTTTTTTAAGCTAAAAATGTAGAGAATATTTTGCCTTGAGTGCATACTTTACAAATGTATCGTCTAAAGGCCCTGACACACCAGGCCGAAATCGTCCGTTTTCGTTAGTCGGACGACGAAGCGTGCCCTGTTGCCCAAACTCAATTTGGTGTGTCCCGCACCGTCAGCCGTGACACGCCTAAAGGCCCTGACACACCAAGCAGTCACCAGAGAACTCGCCGACGCTGACGCCGACTGCTGCGTCGGCGTGTTCTCCTGCGTCTTGGCCATGTGTCGCACTGGAACACACCGCAAAGACCTCAGCAGAGCACGTACGAACTGCGCATGCATGAGTGGCAATAACTCTCCTTACCAGCAGGCGGCGGTAGTGTGTATTCGTCATTCAAAAGAGNATGGCTGATAGCTCCAGTACCGCACGAAACATGTTTTCGATGGACGAGAGTGAAAATGGAACGCACACGCTATTTGTTGTTTGTTTATATCACGTAGTCTGTTCTTCTTCTCTGTCTTCCGGTTGTTGCCTCTTTTGAATGACGAATACACACTACCGCCGCCTGCTGGTAAGGAGAGTTATTGCCACTCAAGCATGCGCAGTTCGTACGTGCTCGGCTGAAGTCTTTGCGGTGTGTTCCAGTGCGACACATGGCCAATCGGCGAGTTCTCTGGTGACTGCTTGGTGTGTCAGGGCCTTAACATTACAGACATAAAAGATTTGCATGAAATAAAGTGAACAGACACTGCAATGAGATCAAACCACATACAAACGTAGAAATTACATAACGTAGGACATCTTGTTGACTGCATGTGCTAGACACTTGTTATTTTTGTTTATTTTTACTTTGTGCTGATTGGCTGTTTGTCTTCTTCTTGCTTGTTTGTTATAGGTCAGAAGTTGCTGGACTCCCTGGCCGACACATGGGACTTCTTCTTCTGTGATGTTCTGTCCATGCTGCAGGCCATCTTCTATCCTGTACAGGTACACACACACACACACACACTGCCTTGAACACACTACCATGCTTATATTATCCTAACAAAACTGAGTGTTGACCCATGTGTGTGTGTCCTCAGGGAAAAGAGCCATCAGTGCGTCAGCTGGCTCTGCTTCACTTCAGGAACATCATCACCCTCAACCTGAAACTGGATGAGGCTCTGTCTCGACCCCGAGCCAGAGTCCCTCCTTCTATCATACAGATGTTGCTAATACTACAGGTACACACACACAAACACACAAGTTATTTATCGTTTCCTTTCGTTTCTCTCACGCTATCTCCACAAACACATTTGGCTCTCATAAACAAACATCTATTAATGTTGTCGGGTGAGGAGGAAGAGGGTAAGTGACAACAGATGGAGGATTAGCGAGTACAAAGAGCTGTGGACTTTTTTCTTGCAATGGGATCTCACAGGAAGTAATCTCAGTCTTCTTCCCATGACCACTCAGTAGTACCCTCTGCACCCTGTCTCTTTGTGTCCTTACAAAAACTGAAAAAAAGTGTTTCAGACCGAATTAGTAAAAAACTTGTTTTCTTGAGGATGTGTGAAATATGTGTGTCAACTGCAAAGTGAAGAGAGCTCAGACATGCATGTGTCCCCTGTGGATAATATGCTTCACTTCATAAACATTTCAAAATAAACTATAGTGAGTAACATTAGGGGACTGTTGTTGCTCCATTAGGCTGAATCAGGTTTATTTCAATGTGGTTCTTCATCCATTCTGCAGTGACTTATAGCTGCACACAGTTAATTATATATTACCTTTACTCCTTGTGGGAACAGGAAGAGAGTTGTTTTTATTTATTATTTAACCGTGGTGATGCTGTTCTTTTGCAGACAACACGCACTGGAATGATAAGTTAACATGCTTCTCCTTTCACAAAATTCCCACCGTGCTTATTCGCCCTCTGGATTTCCACAATTTGTAGATAATGTTACTTTTAATGGATGCATTCATCATTTTTTCTCTTCTGAGTTTTTTTAAGGCAGAGGTCAGGACTTGTAAAACTAGCTTGAAACATTGCATTGCAGTGAATTTAGAGACGTACACTCCAAAACACAGTTGGCCATTTATTGGTCAGATGTGAGATGTGGGTCAGGGAGTGAATGCAAGTGGATTGATGTGTTCTCAAGTGAGTCTGTGTGCTGTTTTTGTTGGGTTACTTTGGACATTATTTTAGTGACTCATTGACCCAAATCTGCCTCGTCCAGACTCAGACAGAGAGGGAGCATGACAGCTGGACAAGGGAAGGTATACAGAGTCAAAAAAGACAAGAATAGAAAACAGGATACATTTATTTGTTTCTCTTCAATTGTGTACAGATTTTAAAATGTTTTTTCCCCCACAATAAATATCAAATCAACAGGTAGCTTAAAGATATAAAAGCCAACTGTTTTTTTTTAAGGCAGAGCAGTTACAACACAAGGTTGAATGTAAGAGAGATAAAGATCTGCAGAGCGTTTGCTGTTTTTGCGACTTCTTGTTTCATCTGTCAGTAATTTCCCTGTTCGTTCTGTGATGCCAATTCGCCAAAGTCTGGTCTATTTATGTGGTTTGTTTCTGTGCTGTGGTTTTGATGCTCAATGGTTCTGATATTTGATTGATCTTGCCTTTGTCATTCATAGACTTTTCTCTGAAGTGAGGTCAGGCTCCACATGTTTCACACCCCTCAGGCTACTCACACTACTCACACTAAATTCAACTTCTACACAGAGCCTGGTTCATTTAAACAGTAACGTTTTTGTTTACTTTTCCTTAAAGGTCCCATGTCATGCTTTTCTGGTTATTACCCGTCCCCTTGTGTGTTATGAAGGTTTTTCTGCATGTAAACGGTCTGCAGAGTCAAAACCCTTAAAGTACACCCTGTAGTGAGTAAAACTCTAACACAGAAAATACCTGTCTATGCTGCCCCAGAACGCCTCGTTGGGGATTTCTCTTTTTCTTCCTAGGTTCAGTGACGTGCCCATACCCAAATGGACCCATTGGTCCAAATGGACCAATCCGTGGAGCCGTTACATTTGGACCAATCCGCGGACTTCCTCACACACACACACTCAATCTTTTCTCAGCTGCAGCTCCGCCGATTTCTCCTCCCTGAGACGGCGGGACGCGGCGAGGCTGTGAGTCACACAAACTCCCAGCCAGGCTGCGGGTGTGTGTGTGTGTTCTGGCTGGGTTTCGCTGTGTCTCGCTGTCTCGCAAACGGCCACTGGACTCATAGGGAGGGGGGGGGCAGGAGCTCCAACAAGGCGTTTAGGACAGAGAGTGAATACACATACTATACAGAGATGCTGTATGAGAAACCAATGTGATTTTGGAACATTGAACAATGTAAATCTATTCTAGTAGACCTCAACAATGGAATTATGATCAGTAGAAATGGCCATGACATGGGACCTTTAAGACTTGGAGTTCCTGAAACAGCACTATGTTGATTGTGAGTGTTAGTTCATTGCCACTGATATTAATTAGAAACAAACACTATCTTAAGTGAAATTTGGGTTTGAGTGCCTGTTTCCTGCAGAAGCAATTGCTTGGGCCCCTTGAGACAAGAAAAGCAATGTTGTTGATGTCATTCAGGTCATGTGTTTTTACATCTTTATACAACTTTAGGAAAAAGCCAAATTCACTCAACACTATAAGCTCTTTCATTCATGTGGTCCTCCGGGCGGTTTTATAAAAGCATTGTGTGACAATGGTTGCTGTCCCCAATATGTTTTTAACTTTAATAAATTCCAGCTTCTCAGAGACCTTGAACTGTCTTTATTTTTTTACCCCACTGTTCTTACATTTGTGTGTGTGTGTGTGTGTGTGTGTGTGTGTGTGTGTGTGTGTGTGTGTGTGTGTGTGTGTGTGTGTGTGCGCAGGGCGTCCATGAATCTAAAGGTGTCACAGACGACTACCTGCGTCTGGAGTCTCTGATCCAGAAGGTGGTCTCTCCCTACCTCGGGACGCATGGGTTATACTCCAGCGATGGATCCTCCAATCTACACTGCTCCTCCTGCCTTTTAGGTATGTGTGTAAATAAAATGTACAATACAAGTGCTTTTAAAAGATACAAGTGCCATAATCCCTCATGTCTTTTACTTAAAAAATATAGAGTAAAATCATCTTAATTCTTTATCTTTCTCCTACTCTCTTTAGAAAAGCGTTTGCAGCGATCATGGCCCTCTAAACCAGGCTCCCCCGGGGTTAAGAACCCAGTGGTACGCTCCAAGAGCTACAACGTTCCCATGCTGACCCCCGTGGTGGAGTATGACGTGGACTCCTTCACAGGTGTCAGACGACACTCCGGTGTCAGGCGACACTCCGTCTCAGGGATGACTTCCTGCTTGGAGGAGAGCATCTCTTTGGCTGAATCCACAAACACTGCCCCCAGCATCACCAGCATCACCAGCATCACCAGCATCACCAGCATCACCAGCATCACCAGCACGTCCAGCTTCCACAACCATTCTCCAGCCTCCACAGCCTCTGCTTCACTGTCAGGTAAGCTTTACCAGCACTAAAACATGCTACAAATCATTGGCTGCGGCACATTTCCAGTTTGTATTGTTTCAGGAGTGATCATTAATTGATTAAGATAGCTTTCTTTTCAAGGGTGTGTTTTAGTTTAAAGGGAATTCAAATTTAAGTGGGGTGCTCTGAAGTAATTTTTCATGGTCATTGTATTACCCCTCGTTAAATGGCAGTTGTTGGGACAGGATTAACAGCATAATCCAAGCAATGTACTGCGATATGGATTGTTTTAGACAAGCCTTTCTATTAGGTGGGTAAAATACAATTTGCTCCATCCACAGCCGCACATAGCTTTGCATTCATGATGAAACTTGTGTCCTTTTCTCTTAACTACTATCATCTAGTGAGGGTAATTCAGTACAATCACCATCGAGAAGTACCTCATACTAGGCCACTTTAACTTTCCCTTTAAAACCTGTCCAAGAAGAACCTCTTGCATCTTACTGAACACTGTGTAAATAATTGTTTTATCTTTAAAGTAGTGGAAACGAGGGAACTTTCATTAAAGCTGTCCAGAAATGTTGGGTTGAGGAAAACATTAAGAGAAAAACTCTGAATATGTTTTGAAATTGAGTGTGAAAGTACTCACTACTGGATACTTAAATTAAGAAGCTAATGAATAAGAGATCCAGAGAGTTATTGATTATTTATCAATAATTCCTACTGCCCTGTGTACAGACACTGTGACCTTCAGCCAGGAGCCCCCCCCAGGAGCCCCTGACTGTCCTGCCAGTCCCCACCCTCTCCGGGCACAGCATCACTCCCCCTGCATCCTCCCAGAGCCGTCCCCAGGAGAGGACACCCACTGCACAGGCTCGCTGCAGTCAGACTCCCCCGCCTCCCTCAGAGCGCTGGCTCAGGACACCAGCTCCGGCCCCAGCCCTGCATCCAGCCCGGAGGTCCTGAGGGGCCACGTCCCTGAGTCTTTGGACTCTGAGCCAGAGCACGATGGCATCTTTCTGGACTTCTCAAAACACTGTTCTGAAGGGTCGGACACACAGCAGAGTGTGGCGTGACACACACACAGACACACACATGCAGACAGATGCACACTGATGCAGGACGACATTCCTTACGCACTGGGACAATTCCTACTGTTTTATTGAGACTCAAAATGATCAGGGATTTTTTTAACTGAATATTTTTTATGGAAAAGGTGATCACCCATACCTAGAATCAAGTCTAACCACATGCTGACTCACAGAAATAAATATGTTGCCTTTTTTAAAGTGTTGGCACTAGGCTAGAAACATCAGCTCTGTCTTTTTGGGCAGCCAGGATCACATGCCTCCCTCGGAAGTTTTTTCTACCGTTTTTTTCTTTTTAATTAAAACTTTGAAAACACATGAAGCTAGTGAAAAGACATCCCAGGGGGAGGGGCACATGTTGAAAAATAATTGTCAAAATATCTTAAAGAGGCTATTAAATACATTTTTTAACACGTTAAATGTAAAGGTAACTCTCCAGTTCACCCAATGATGCTTCTGTATTGCTTGTTGAACAGCAACTTATTTTATTAGTTGATCATTCGAATATTAATTTGAATGTTGCAATCTTTTATTCTGTGTCAAATATTGAATGAGCTGTATTTTCAAAGCAGTTTAAGTTAAGAAGGAGCTCAAATCAGTTGCAATGTGTCTTTTTCTCTAAGGACCCATAAGATCCAGGACGTTTTTATTAAAGATATTATGATCTAAAACATGTTTGGATAAAAACACTGATAATTACATTTCAATACATAAGTTTGTAAAATAAAAATCTCTTAGTTTGAAACCAATGATATCAGCTCATATTTTGGTTTAGGTCTACATTTCTGCATGATATGAAAAGGTTGCAGACACCGCCATCTTGTGTCATCCCGGTCTCATTGCACGGCAGTATGGTTTCCCTGCAGGGCAATGCTGCAGTGTAGCCGGTAGGTGACTGCAGCTAGACTCTAGAAACGGCCTCACCAGAGCCAACGTTGTATCGGCAATTAGATTTTTAAAAAGGCCGATACCGATAATCTGTAAAATGCGGAATATCGGCCTCAATAATCGGCCAGGCAGTACTTCCACAGATGACATTTTTTAATGGATTTTTTGTCAAAGCACTTAAAGGGGACCTGTCATGCAAAATGCACTTTTGTACGTCACGAAGTGAAATAGAGGGATGTGAGGTATGGCTAGAATGGGTGATCTGTTTGGTATTTTGAGCAAAATACTTCATAGACATGTTTTTTATATATTTTACTATTGCTATTATTGCCTAAAAATAGCATGATAGGTGACCTTTAAGAAAAGCAACATCAGAATCACAAATCCTTTGTGTTCTACAGAGGGGATATTTACGCTGCTACAGCGAAGGGGACAACACGGACATAGACAAAAACTACATATGAAATAAAGAGGCAAGCACATGTTAACAAAAAATAATGTTAAATAAGTACACGTTCATGTTAAAAAAAGAGGAGTAGCAGTATTATAAAAATGAAGTGGAACATATAAAAAGTAATGAATTAGCATCTAGATCATAGTATTACATCCAAAGTGTTATTTTACAGCATTGTTGTTACAGTATTAGGTAGCAACCAATACTAGCGTTGTAAAGTAGTATGTATTGTTTATATCAGTGTTGTTGCACAACAGAGTGGTTATAGTGTGTGTTGTAGTGTTGGTTGTGTTGTGATTCAGGGCCTTGGTGACTGTACAAAGTCCTGCCAACAACAAGAAACAAAAACATTTGATCACAAGTTATTTTAATGGCAAACTGTGACACAGTGTAATCCACACACTGCCTTTGTGAATGTAACCAGGCCACAAACTGAACCCAACATTGTGCTGTCCACTTTTCATACATTCAGGCTTCAAAGATCCAGCATAAAGAACAATCTGTTCAATAGTTTAGTACTCAAATGATTCTACTGTCAGCCTCAGATTAAAAAATGTGAATGATCATACTGAAGAGCAAAGAGAACAAAGTCTCCAGAGCGTCAAACACAGAAATATGTGTGCAGTGCATGGAGCTGATCCCAGCTCAGCTCCTGCCTGCACCTCCCAGCAGCACTCTCTTAGCACACAGGGCTTCATCTCATACACATCTGATTTATTTGGACATTTCTGCATCTCAAGTAGATTTGGGTTGGCCAAAGTACATTCAGAGAAATACATGTTGGTATTGTGGCATTGGCTAGCAACTCTACTACTCTGAGTAACTTTCTAATAGTTGACTGTTTAAATTACAGCTCACAGGAACTTCGTGCGTGTCAACATGAAGCTGCTGCATACTGAAGGTAAGTGGTTCAACCCCACAAACTCGCATACATTCACACCTCAATTTAAGAGAGTCACATGGGACGAGCACGAGTTACTCCATGTGACTTAAATTGGCATTGTATTTGACTATTTATAGTCGGATATACAAATAAAGTCTGGCCACATTTTTGCCAAAAACATTATGTCACCCGGGGACATAAGCATGCAGATTTCTTCTCAGTGGCAGTTTGTGGGTCCGATCTGGACCAGAAGTCCTCCTCCTTAGAGCTGAAAGTGTTTTACAGACCACCCTAATGTCTACTTACATTAACGGAAGTTATCACTTCATGGAAACAAAAGTCTCTAGATATGGCTAATTTGCTCTTACCTCTTTTTTGTTACAATGATATAAATCCTCTTTGAGACTTCCACTGCATATTCAAATGTTTCCCATGCGTAGAGTAAATCAGAATTATTTTTGGGTGAAGACACAGCTCCTGTTTTGCCCACCATGACAAGAGCACGACTCAGACATTTCAGTATGTAAACAGTACTACTGTGTAACATTTAAATTAACTATTTTCAGTTGATGATATGCATACATTGTTTTCAGTCTTAAATGACTGTAGTCCATGAAATTATGATTAACACAATTGTTCTGCTCTAAGTTTCAGATGCACAGGGGATCAGTCAAAAACATCTTCCTGGGAGGAAATGAGTCGAGACTCCCCGTGGTGCAGAGTGAAGAAAGAGTCTGGCTTCAGTCCTTTCTGCTCCAGGGCCTCTCTGAGACGCACCGGAGGCTCCAGGTAGAACTGATGGAGGAAACAAGACCAGGGGGAACAGACCTGAGTATGTTTGATTCTTACTTTCTGAGCAAGGCAGCCTGAGGTTGCATAAACTGTAAGCAGCACAAATATTAAGACAGCTTAACAAACTACTCGTCTCTGTTGTGTTACCAGAACATATTGGTGTCTTTACCTCAGGAGCATTCTGGCTTTAAAGGGACAGTTCACCCCAAAATCAAGATGATAGCCTTTCTCTTTCACCTTTACGAGTTGCTGAATGTTAGATACCAGCTGCCTGCTACTGTTGCTAAAGACGCTATAACAATGTCTATTACCAGAAATAATAAAATCATGCTGGAACTTTGTTTTCTTACTCAGGTTCTAACCAGGTCATGATTTCTGGAAAGAGACATTGCGCTTTCTGCTCCACAATCAGAGTATCTTCTATTTAATCATATTTATTTAAGAGAAGGCAGACATATATTCAGCTGAGTTCTCTTACAGTTTGGCTGACACTATTCTGGTTACACACACACATCTGTTGTGAGTGTTCACTTTAGTTGCATTTATCACAGTTCTATCCTTATGGGTTAAAAGAAAGATTTGTTTTTGTTTCTGCAACCTCGTGAGGTTCTACTTCTATTCTAATAGTATGCATTAACCCTAGCAGATAGACTGTAAATAGCTGGCCTGTCTAAAGGAACACAATTCACCTAGCATTTGCTTAATTAAACATTGTGTGTTTTGTGAGGGGGTTATGAGCTGGAGACTCTGCTTTAAAGAGCTGACTTGTCCAGCATGCAAATCCTATTTAAATCAACAAAGTGTACCCTCAATTCTTTAGACAGGCTTGCTGTTCCTCCTTCATCCTTAGAAAGAATGAGTACACATGTCCCCTATCTGTCATTAACTGTATACTGCTTACCTCATAGGCGAGAGCGAACGTTCCCCAGTGGATGGCCACGGACTGTTTGGCCTGAAGGTCTTGGTGGACCTGAACAGCCTCTTCTGGATCTACATGCTGCCCCTGCATCATGTCCCTGAAAAAAAGAATGTTCATACATGTTTGTTTCTGGAAACTCTAATAAACAGAAATGATCTCTAGTGGTATGTGCCTCTCTGTCCTGAATACCACCTTGGTTTGGTCATTTGATAGTTTAAGGTAGAGTTGTTGTAATCCTATTACATGAGGGGGCAGTATATTAAAAACTTGAACTATCACAAGTCATAGTCTGCAAGAACTCACAATTGAATTACCATGTTGACTGGAGGAAATAATAGGCATGATGAACGTAGACAGTGTGTGTATAATGTGCAGAACCTGGGCAGGTAGGCTCCGATGGGGATTGCCGCGAGGTCAAACGGTCCGAAGCGTCGTCCGATCTCCTGGAAGGAAGAGCAGTAGCCGGTATCACCAGTGAAGAAGAATCGATGGTCCGGACCCAAAATAGACCAGCTGCTCCATAAAGACTGGGGGAAATACATCAATATATTTCAGAATAATCTAATAAACCTGGCCTTTTATATGTTGACTTTTCTACGAATGCATGTATTTTTGTTAAATGTATGGTTATGTCTCATTTGCCTGCACTTTAGGTGATGATAAATAAAACAAAGGTAATATTGAATCCTTACCTTGTTATCGTCGAGCGCGGTGCGTTTGCTCCAGTGCTGAGACGGTGTGCAGACGAATGTGACGTCATCGTGACCGGGGACACAGTTCTCCTCCCACCAATCCAGCTCCATCACATTCTCACAGCCTGTCTTCACCAGCCAGTCCATCAAACCCAGGGGCACGAACCTGCAACACACACACACACTCAGTTAATATGCCACAGTACTTTTCATGTTATGATTGAGAGTGAAAGCTGAATATTATCAAGACTGGATTTTAAAGGGGCCATATTCTGCTAATTTTCTCTTTATTTTTCTCATACTGCCTGTGCTGCAGCACCTCTTTTCACCCTCTGTCTGAAACCAGAGCCCAGTCTGCTCTGATTGGTTAGCTGGCCGGCTCTGTTGTGATTGGTCAACCGCTTAGAGATGTCCCGCCCCTTAGCCTATCACGTACAATGTTTTGCAGCGCTAGCCAATAGGAGCACGAGTGTCAGTCATTGTCTCTATGTTACGGAAGTAAACAAAGGTGTCCAATGGAGGCATTTCAGGCAGGGGGGGGCGAGTGTGTTAGAGAAACTCCTTCTGGAGGGAACACAGGGATTTTAGCCTTTGCAGACCATTTACATGAACAGAAACCGTTATAACTCACTAGAGGAGAGGGAAAAGCCCAAAATGCACAATAGGGCCTCTTTAAATGTACTTTCAGACTACAGATCCAGCACACGTACCAGCGTAGCTCCCCTCCGAAGCGTGCGTTCAGGCTGGCCACAGACCCAGCATCCAGATGGTCATAGTGAGAATGACTGATGACCACAGCATCGATCCTGGGCAGCTGGTGCAGGACGATGGACAATGAAACAAGAACTGGGTTAAATACTGTGGAGGGGGTGTTAGCTTTTTATTTTCTTGAAAAATGTAAAAAGTACTCAACCTGTTCCACAGTGCAGGGGGGCCCTCGGTACCTTTTGTGGCCCATGAACTGGAAGGGTGAGGCCCTCTGGCTGAACATTGGGTCTGTGAGGATATTCAGCCCGTCCATCTCCACCAGAACTGTGGCGTGACCCAGCCAGGTGACCCTCAGCCCGGGGCCCGACTCAGAGAGGTCCGGGGTCTGGATGAAGTACGGCTCCAGCACGGGGAGCTCGTTGTCCAGAGCCTACGGGGGGGGGGGGGGGTTACGGGTATGTTATGTACAACCAACCCACATCCTGATGACGGCTAAGAGGATGTTTCAGTCTTATGACCTCGCTTGATCATACTTTTCAAAAATCATCCCTAATCCCCTTTTACCCTAATAACATATGAACTGTTATACGCTCTGCACACGTTACTGCGCTCTCCTGTTTAAACCTCTCTGAACAGAGGAAGGAAAGGCTCTTTGGACAACTTTTTTCAGTCTGTTTACGTTTCATTTCTGTCTTGTAGTTTAAAAAGCTACCTCCTTTCAGAATAGATTTACAGAAAATAGCTTGCTACCTTGACATGGTAAAATGTAAATCTATTTCCTTACTTGAGGACTAAAAGTGTGCCATCCTTGGGTTAAAACATGTTTCTGTTGCTGTGAAAGCAGAGTTTGAAGTATGTTAAGCTCCAACAGAGCTCAGCAAGGTTTCTACTTGGAGCTTAATACTCACGGCAATAATCCCACAGACGAGGGGAATACTGTATGACCTCTAATGCCAGTCACTATAAGGATAATACAAGTGCCATATACTCTGGCTTAACAATATTTTAGGTAATATTTGAGTAAGAACACCTTCCAACACTTTTATATTTATTCAGTTTTTTAGAAGTAGGTGAGCTTAGGCTTAGGGTGGAGCTATATCAGCCACTATGTACTGAGGTTACATTTAAACCCTCTATTACTGATCAGACACTATTCCAGCGTTTCCGCCAGGGGGGCGTCTTGCCGTCATTTGACGCTCTTATTCAGCTGAACGCCCTGAACTCGAGCCGAGGGCGTCCAAAAAAATAAATAATTTGAGAGAAGATCGAGAGTTTTTATCGCTTGAAATGACGAAAAGGAAAAAGGACAAGGACATCCCTCTGTTGGAAGGGCAAAGGAGTCAGGTGGGATTATTTTCGCCTCCAGCAAAGCGCGTTCCTGTGACGAAAAAAAACAAAACACCGCCGCATCTTCCAAGGACCATGCCAGGAGGGGTGTCCCTGTCGGCAGGGAGACGTAAAGAGATAGCATAAGGGATGGCGCAATTCAAAATTGTGTGTGTGTGCATATGTAAAGAGATAGTATCTATAAGGGACGGCTCAATTCAAAATTCTCTCGGGGTGGACGCCCTCTCAGCCCTGGTCTGGCGGAAACACTGATTGAGACTAATAATATATTAGATGTTAGTCTTATTTGTACCCACCTCTTTACTGGTTGGTACATTGCTGTGGTTTTTATCCAGCAGCAGGAATCTGAGCAGGGTGGTGTAGGAGGGGAAGCGCCATGTGGGCCAAGGGTTGGTCCAGCGGCCATTTTTGTCCCGACAGGACTTTGTCACTTCCTCCTAAAATCAAAGTCAACAATGACGTTTCAGTTGTTATAGAAATGGATTTCAAACGACGTCAGGTTAAAACACAATAAAAAAATAAAAAAAGTATTTAATCTTTATCTTGTCAGGTGGTTTTTATTCAAATTCACCATTTGTTCCAGTTTTTCAACATTCAATCAAATTGAAAGAACACAAAATCCTCCAATAGCTAATTGCTAACAGTTTCCAATATGACGTGAAATGAAGCTGTAAAATCTCCAATTTGGCAAGTTGAGGGAAGAAAATGGAAAGAGGAGGTGATGAGTGTGCTTTAGGGCAGGGGTTCCCAAACTTTTCAGCCCGCGACCCCCATAATAATAGTGCCAGAGACTGGCGACCCCCTGTCGACGGGGGGGGGTGGTTAATTATATATTTTTTTACTGGTAATCAATTTTTGTTTTTATTTTTATTTTTTTTATTTTCCATTTTAATTTTGTAATCATCTCGCAACCTCCACTTTGGGAACCCCTGCTTTAGGGGAGTGAGGACTGACCTCCAGCCGGTAGTCCAGGCGGAAGCTCTTGCGGGAAGAGCGAGAGGAGCTGCTCTTCCTCGGAGTCTGAGGGTCCACCTCCCCTCCCCCAGCCCCCCTCAGCACCCAGCTGTCCTGCACCACAGGGACAAACAGAAGGAGAAATTAGCCTCACACAAATAACCAAAAATCATCAAGACATCCTCTTGTGCCTCAAAATGTAAACTTTGAGTTTCAAATACATTTCCAGCTTCTGGTGACTTTGGGTGTAACAATACACCTCTGAAATGCTTCTATATGCACCATAAATGTTCCCAATCCATATAACATGTCTGTCTTTATTATCGTACCTATTTTAAACAAATATTTAGACTGATTAATTAAATATTTTAGACCATTAAATAGTAAGGGTTAGAGCAGCTTAGGCACAAAAGGAGCATTAGGAGCATTTTCAATAAATAGGGTCAAAATGTATACATCAGACCCAAAGATATGTCCTCTTTTTATCCATGCATTCGTTTACATTCTACATTACCAATAGAGTACTTCTTACTACAATTTTTATTTTCAAACTTGAATCTTTTTAAGCTCTAACAGACATTATGGATCTCAATGGGATAAGATGTTGGACTGCTCCTTCTGAATTGACTAAGGCTTTAAAAAATGTGTCTCCCCATGAAACTCAATAATAAGAGTGTAAAATCAATAGGTGGAGCAATAATCAATACACCCAATCACAGTGACTGTAAACAGTCTTTTTCACAGCAGATAGTTTTAGTTAATAGAAAACTATAACTGACATGTCAAAATGTAATGTATTAGCTAACTGTACTTTTCTGGTGACATTTGATCATGTTATGCTAAGAAGGGTGGCAGTTTTATCAACACTGAGAACTTAGCAGCTCACAATATTTTCCATGCTGATTCATTGTGTCAAAAGGCCTGCTGTTGTAGAGGTACATTTTGAGCTCTAGTAGAATCACATATCCCCAGGCAATAAGGAGTCTCTCAAATGAGCATAGGAACATGCATGTTTTTAATTCTAAAGGTGAGATTTTAAAAACACACTGTATTCTTTTTAGTATCTAGTTGTGTCTCCATGAGCAGACTGCTTACCTCCACTAGACCCCTCCTCTCCTCCAGAGCTGCTTTGCCTGAAGATGATGGCTTCTCCATGGGCTCGGCACCACACCTACACACACAAACACACACTTCAAGCTAATGCTTCAGTCAGTGGAACCACAGATTGACTCTCCCACTGCAACGATAACAGATCTCTTTGAAACGTGTGACAGTTGAACTGTAGTCATTTGCATGAGACAGAAAGATGGTTATCAGAATACTAAGAAAAAAGACATGTGAAGATGATGGTGAATAAGGCCCATTGTATCTCCGTTTTATATGAATCTTATCTCATAACATCTGCAGGACAATTATGAAACAAGTTGCTAAGTGAGGTAGGTGACACATAAAAGTACACAAAGAGAAGTGTTTTTCCTCTTGTGTAATACTGAATGGGAAGTACTGTAACTGACGCATGATACTAAAAAAACAAGGGCAATCCGTGTTGGAAAAGACAACGTTAAATAAAACAATGTGCTTAGGCTTCACTGCAACATATTAAAGCCCAGTGCAACAGCTACAACTGCACTGACGTATTCCTTATTATACAATATACGACTAAAACACGATGGTGCAATATTAAACTTTGAGTTGAGGCCTACACCGAGATCAGGCCTGGCTTCAGCTGTGCAGACCTGGGGTATAATAAAATATTCCTGGATCGACTTAAGAGGAATAAGACCTTTGATAGGAAAGGTTGGAAACATTATGGTGAATTTGACATTTTAGTTTAAGGGTAGGGGAAGAAACACCTACATTTACTGAGCAAATAAATTGATGTTGGCACCTACTCACTCCAAAGTAAGCCTAATCATAGACCTTCCTTATCCTGCTTTTATCCACAGCAGACACAGGGCAGCACACACCCTCACTGACTACTATGATCACCTCATAATAGTTCCTTCATGCACTCATGAGAAAAGGCACTTGCGTGAGGTTGCTCTTCCATATTGATTGATTAGGGATGTGGTCTTTTTGTGGCATGGTATTGATGGACCCTCTGTTGTGTTAAGAGACATTACGCACTCTGCCAGGTATACACACATAAACACACTAATGCAACAGAAGATTCACAAGTATGTGTCTTCTTAGAGGGAACTCAATACATTAAAGCTATGCTGATGATGCACTCACACTCATGAATGGACTTAAACTACACAGACACACAGGCTCTGGGACAACAATAGAGCTCTATGGACCACAACCAGACAAAGACCAAAGTAGGCAGCCAGCGTGCCTGATCATATAGGCGACAAATATAGCCTGAAGTGAGTTTCTCTCCTCTGTTTCTCTGTAGTAGATCCAATCTTTCTATTAATTGATCAGACAGTGTGGTCTCCAAGTTATTTCAAAGAAAAAACACAGGATGTACATAATAACATGTATCCTGCCCAGGTTTCCATCATGAAAGCAGTTAAATGTCTAAGAGTGAGCTAACAAATTAGTGCTATTAACTTAACAGCATCACACACAAGTCCTAACATGAATGTGTCTAGTCCCTGAGATACTCACTGCAAGACAATGTGATAAACTGCCTTAATATCTTTACACAGCTATTTCCTTTTCAAAGTGTGTGAACAGGCCGGTTAGACAGCAACAACAACAACAACAACAACAACACTGAATCACAACACCTTTAGGCCTACCCGTCCCACGGAGGGGACATTACACTGTAACAACCACAGTGAAGAGCATTAAATAGCTAAATATTAATTAAAAAGGCATGCATAAAATATTAAAGATAACAATAGAAATTACACAAATTACAATTTACAAAAATACACGTCAAGGTGGACAACAGAAAGTGTACCAGTGTATCAAGTATAAAGTAGTGTCTGTAGTGATAATGTGACAGTGGCTTTATTATTAATGTAATAAAATAAGCACAGGTAGTAATGCTATGCTAAAACACATTTTCACCAGCACAGCTAAATGTGTCCATTGGGGGAAAAAACCGAGATAGTATAAACCAGATTAAGATGCCATAAAGCCACCAAGCACTCACTGTCGAATAGCACAGCCGTAGGCTAAAAAACATGCCTGTTGTTACCGTTTTCACCGAATTTACCTGAAAACTTGAACGCAGCAGAACAGCACCGGTTGTTTTCTCAGCGGGGAGACATGTCTGTTGCATTTACGGAAGCCATATACCAGGTTAATGCGAGCTTGACAGCATTATCAAGAGATATACGGTTCCCTAAGTGTTTCCAATGCAGTTTACATTGCTATAAGGCGTATTTGTTTAGTCACTAGCCAGTGTAAAGTTAAAGACAGCAGAGAATGCTGTGGAAAGATGTCTCTGGGCAGTTAAGTCGCGCGGAGGATCAGCTCTGTGTCTCTGACGTAGGAACAAAAACCTCTGGTCACGTGACCGTCCACAAAACTCTCGCGGGCTGTTTTATAAATAAAGACACAAGTCACTAGTAAAAGTAAGTTTACTATTTTGTCTGTTATATTTTATTATGCTAAATAATTTGGTAAATAAAATAACATTTCAAATAAAATAGCTGATTTATTTGTTCCTACATTGCATTGTTTCGATTATGATTTAAATAATCTCTTTAACTAATTTAATGTAGTAGAAGAGAGAAAATAGAGAGAGATCTAATTTACTTTAAACATATTTGATGACTGAGGTAATTGTTTGTGTATTTATTTATAATTCCTGACTTCTGGCGGCGGGTTGCACACAAAAAATAAAATGTGTGGTCTATGCCGGATTTTTTTTACAATATAGGCCTATAACTAGATTAAAACGAAATCCAGTCAAATAAACTTCTCTACATTAGAATAACTTTGAAACCATGTTATTGTTGCTCGACGCCAACTGTTCGGTGATCAAATGAATGAGCACTGTGTCAAAGGTTGGCAACATCTGATTACACAGGGTGACCGTGTTCAATTATAATTATTTTAGTCATAATAACTGAGAAAATGTGTCACATAACAGGTGAAGCCCCCTACTAACACAAACACTGAGTACTCTGAATTACACAAAACGTGAAATGGTCCACCTACCCTGAATGTGTCCTCCTGATGGCGGGCAGCCGGAGCACAGCCGCCTTCAGCCGATCGGAGAAGTTACTAAAGCCGCCCTCCAGCAACACATGAACCGGCCTGCACAACACTGACTTCATGATAGACCTTTGTGTTAGACAATATTTGCTTTACATTTTTAATAAATCCCCCAAAGACGCCATAAAGTTGCATATTTAAACATAATGGTTAGTACACCTCGAGGAAGTCTCAGTACGGACCATATACAGTCTATGGTACGGACGCTGAGGTGGTTGGAAATTCCACACAGATGCTTTCAGGGGCTTTCCTGAAATGCGAAAATCCTAATCTCGGCTCAAATGAAAATACCTATATTACCTCTTTAGAATAGTTACAAAAACAATATCACCATTGAATCGTTAAGAAATGTAATAACCACGCCATATAGAGAGCTATATGGCACTGGCAATAACGTTTGTTCTCAAATCTGGTATTGGTCAAACGTGTATGTTAGGGCACATTCAGGTTTGCCTAAACTAAAGCTTATGGTGTTGCAATAATGGCTTTATCACAGAGCAAACTTTCACTACATTTGACCAACTTTTGCAGAGCACTCCTATGCCAATCCTAAAAGCCATTTCTCACTCAAAGGATTCTATAAGAGCTAATCAACATAAACTTCATCAGCCAAATCAGTCCTCATGCAGTCACCTTCAGCTGGTTGGGAAATGGTGTATTCTGCAAATAAATATAGACAGCATCAGGATTGAAAAGCAGGACAAACTCTGCTCAACCTTTGCAATTGTGGTGCACAATGCTTAACAATATTGTCATATAGTAACCTTGACTAGCCGGACGCTATGGTTGCAGTTCAACTCTTGTCATGTAGTTTTAATAGACCCTCATCTTACCCAAATTGTTACAAAAATAAATAACATATACAAGAAATCTTGTAAACACAATTACTTTTTATAGAAAAATCAAAAGATCAGTAAAAATTACCAAATTATTACACTTTTTACATTCCGACACAAAAGTGGACATCTCTTCAGGTAGGTATGGATGTGTGGATGCTAAAATGACTTTTGCTGTTGTCCTCTTATCAGGTACCAATAACATGGACATGAGTGGACAGGATTAATGTTGGATCAGCGGTTCAAGCAATGTGTGGGTAAAAAGACAACAATGACAAGTTTATAAAGAAACAATCCCAAAATCCTTGTTTCAGTGATATACTAAAACGATTTTATGTAAAAATTATTGTAATGTTTTCTCTGAGGGTCCATGTAAATAAAACCGATTAAAACACAAAATGTGTGATCATAAAATATGTCACAGCAATGTTTTTAATCATTATGTCCGTTCCTCAGTGGTCCTTGTGGTCTCCGTCCTCCTCCAGCTTCCTGATCTCTGCCTTCAGGCTGTTGATGTTCTCTCTGCTGGCTTTTAGTTTGTCCTTCAGCTCAGTGATCTCCAGGCTGGTTCTCCTCTTTGCAGCATCCATTTTCTCCTTGGTCCTCTGCTCCAGCTCACTGACTGCAGACACAGACAAGCACTCATTAGCATGAGAGGGACTCAAACTCTTTAGTTAAGTGACACAAACTACACGTTTCCATTATGAAGGGTACAAATTAATCATACAGCTAAATACATTTTCTTAATATATATATATATATTTGTATTAATAATTAATAATCAGTTATTCTTCTAAAAAAAAAATTGTATTTATCTTTTGTTTGTCATTCATTACATTCATTGTGTCTTCTGTTATAAACATTCTTAACACAATATTAAACAGTAATATCAACAGTAAACATGTTTTTAAAGCATTTTTAAAGTGATTTCTTTCTTTATAATATCATATAATTTTGAACAGTAATATGAACAATTTACATATATTTTTAGCATTTTTGAAAGCTACTTATGCCTTAATAATATTATATATAATATTCAACAGTAATATTAACAATAAACATATTTATATTCATATATATA